TCATATATTTATTTATTTACTCATTCAACAAAAATATGTTGATTTTGTGTGATGGGTCAGGTACTTTGTTACAGTCTAGAAAGTAGCCCTTAAGGTACCAATTGACTGGTTTGGTAGAAGGAGATAGAGGAAAGAGTGGAACAGGAATAGAAAGAGGAAGAAACAAGGAAGGAATGTCAAACTATTTGAAAGATCATAAGGAGTGAGCAGGCAATTTCCCCAAAGATAAAAAGAAAAGTACTTGTAGGCCTTGCACCATTCCTTATGTGAATGGGATTTTACCCATCAGAGTGATGGGAAATTTGGGTCCACATAGACTCTAGCAACCTACCTGACAAAGCTCATCAAGTCTGCTTATCTGATAGTAAGCCATCAATGAAGTTTTAGTCTGAGCACATTTTGAGGAGACACATGAATAATTGCTCAGGAATTTCTCCAATTCCTGTAGCATCATAAGAGTCAGTCTGGAGTTTGAATGTAGAAATTTCTAATCCTCAGAGAAACCTCTTTGTCCCTCTTAATCAGTCTTCCCTTTCCATATTAATAATCCTCTTGCACCATATTGATTGAAGAGGCGTAAACTCTCCCCTAAGCATTGAAAATATGAAGGATTGTGCAATCCCTCCTCCCTGAGTACCTCGGGGGAGGGGGGTTCTTTCCCTTTCCTTCAGTCAGTGGTTCTCAGCCAAGGGCAGTTTTTCCCCTCTGACAGTGTATGGTGACAGCTTTGATTGTCACAACAAAAGGGATACTTCCAGGATTTAGTTGGCAGAGGACAGAAATGCTACTGAACCTTTTCCAACTCAGAAGGACAGCTCCATGTGATAAAGAAATGTCATCAGTACGAAGATTGAGAAACCTTGTCCCAGCATATTTGGTGAGCCTTTTGCGAGGTCACTGGGCTTGTCCACATCTTCACACCATGACAAACCCACATAGGAAGTTAGGACAGAGATTCATACAGCATGTTAGGTGCGAGGGAAGAACAGAGTAAGGGCTCTGCAAAGGTTCCTAAGAACACCAGGCCTCCTGGACATCTTCATGGCAAACCCAAAGGTTTTTCAGTAATGCTCTAATTATTGCCCTGTCATGTCACGAGAACAGGTTGGCAAACCTAGGTACTGAACTAAATAATCTGTGGCATAATCTAAACATATAACGGTAATTAAGTCTGACAACTTAATACGCTACTGAAATTTAAATGTACAGTAGTAATCTACAATTAAGCAATCTTTTGTAATAGCACCCTGCCAACATGGAAGATTTCAGGTATAATACGATGTACTATTAGGCAGCAAAAATATTGACATTAGTAAAATATACTCAGGCTATGATCTGACGCTTATTCAAATTAACCATCACTCTATAAGGGAGACAGAATTGAGGTGGGAATTCCGTTGCTGTCCTTCAATCAGCTTTGGAAACAGATGTTTTATGCAGTCACCTTAGCTAAAGTGGATGTTTCTGCACACACAGAGCGTTCTACTCCAAGTAGAATTCCCAAGTCCTCTCAGCAGGGAACTGGCGTGAGAAAGTAGGATTCAAAGGAGGGTTTCCCCACTGAGATGTTTCCCCTTTGAGGGAAACTGATCCCAATATTTTACTAAGGCCAGCTACACATTGCATATCTAATAAAGGGACAAAGTAGGTACTCTGAGAAGGACATGAGCTTTGAAATGAGTGCTGATCAGAAAACTCCACCCATCAGTTACAAGCCAGTGACAGGGGACAAGGTATGCAAACCCTGAGTTTCTCCTTATTCTCCTGGAGGATCTAGTCACACTCCATTCACAGAGTTGATGTGACGGTCATGTAATTCTCTGTTCACCTGGCAGTGTCTGCTCTTCACAGCCACCAGAGGGATCCTTTACAAATATTTATCAGATAATCTCAGTTGCCTGATTTAAACTGTAATGTTGACCAGTAGTAATTATACAAAAATTATATAGGGTCTTGTGGGCTGACGGGGAGTTTGAATTTCCTCCTAATTCATCCTGTTCATGCTGCACCTTTCCTACCTTAGGTCTCTTATTCCATTCCCTCTGCCTGAAAAGGGCTGTTTCTCATTCCTCAGGATATGTTCTGCTGTCAAAGATGCCTCCCTTTGATCCCCAACTGGAGTCACCTCCCCAATCTCATTTATTAGTCTCTAAAGTTTTTTGGGGTTTTATAGGCATGGCTATCTGAAAAAAATTATATTTATAACATGTGACATGTAGCTGGGTCAGGGACTGTTCTTAGTCCTCGAGTGAAGTCGATATGATTTAAGTGTTTGTAGAAGGGAAGGAGGGAGGAAATGAGGGGAGGAAGGGGAAGGAAGAAAGGAAAGAAGGAAGGGAAGAAGGAGGGAAGGAAGGAAAAAAGGATGGAAGAAGGGAGGCAGGAAGGGGTGGGAGGAAGGAAAGGAGGGATAAAGCAGATAAAGCATCTTGTACATCCTGAGAATAAGGTAGAATTTCAATTCCCTCAAGTATTCCTGCATTATAAAAATCTCAAGAGATTTTTTTTTTCAGTCCATCAACTGTAAGATTTATCTCTAGCCACCAATATAAATTTACCTCTTAAAAAACTGTGGATCCAGTTAGCCCTCTAGGCTTCCATTTCTTCACCGACAACGAAAGGGCTTTAGGAAATTCCTGAGGTCACTGCTGGTCCTAACTGTAAGCCAAGTGCATTAGGTTGATTATGGGAGCTTCTATATCCATGACTGCATCAATGACTCAGAATATTAGTGACTGTCAGAGTTATATTCAGCTCCACTGTGCATTGACAAGCAGTGTCTCTTTCACTGAATACTTCTTGGGGAGATGGAGGATGTGTTAAATACTGTAGTGCATAGATTTCCATCTGGGGGGAAAAAGGATCTACCTTTGGATTTCATCTTTTCCCCTGTCTCGATTTCAGTGGCTGGATTCTCTCGTCCTGTGTCTGTTCTCAGAAGGCCTCGCTGACATGCTCATCTCCATTCACTCCCTATCCCACCTTCCCTCCCTCCCCTCTCCCTTATGGATCACCTAGCTCAGTTCCATAAAAGACCCTCTTACTTTTTCATTCCCAAAGCAATGGAGAATCTTCATCAAAAGCAGACTTTGAATTTTTACAATATTTTTTTTTGTCTGTTACATAGCATCCTCAGAAAAGTTCAAGAACAGGGATCAACCGTTTTGAGGCCTCACTTATGGTGAGGTAGTTAACATTTTATTTATTTATTTATTTATTTATTTATTTATTTATTTTGCCAGGGATCAAACCCAGGGCCTTGTGCATGCAAGGCAAGCACTCTACCCACTAATTAACTTTAAAAAAAAATGTACCCTCATTTCTCATAGCTCTGTCTCCTTTATACTTTTTCCTTTAACTTGGAGACCAGTATTCTCATATCATGCTTTTTAAAGACTCTTCAAAGTTCACTACTTGAGGAAACCATGTTCCAGGCAGGTGCTGTATGTCATCCCCCCTTCTAGAGTGGAGGCTCACACCAGATTGAAGTGTCTTATCTCCTAAGGCAAAAGGAAAATTGTTTATAGGCTGAACACAACAGTCAAGATCCCCAGGTGGTACCTCACCCAGTCAGCTCTGCTGAGCAGAAGGAAGACATACCCAAGTGCCTCTATCCAGCGAAGACCTCCAAGAAAAGGATACCAGGAGACAGAATTCATTTGCCATGTGTCCAAAAACACGGATGGAGCAGCACTGCCACGTTGTGAATGGTTTCCTAAAAGTTCTATAAGTAAATTAATGGGGTTTGAGGAACTGACTGAGTTATTACCCAGCACCATCACATCATGGAGGATAATCATATCTTAATTATGATGTCAATAAGCAACTCCAAAGAGAGCTTTGACAGTTTTGGCAATCCAGTCAAAGTGTTCAAAGTGTTGTTTAGAAAATATGCACATAAATGTACACACGCATACATACTACCCCTCTCAAAAGGAGATGCCCAGGAGACCTAAATATAATTGGCTATCTTCATCTGATGGATCCACCACACCTGGGATTACACCCAAACACAGATGGAAAGTATTTGGAAAAAACTCTTTACAGACCTGTTTCTACACTAGTCTCTAAGCAATACAATATAGTATTTAGGTGCGTAGCATTTGCACAGTGTTAGGCATTATAGGTAATCTGTAGATAAAAGATATGGGAGAATGTAGATAGGTTATATGCAAACACTATATAACTTTATAAGAAGTGTTTTGAAAAGAAAATAAAAGAAGGGATTTGAGTAATCAAGGGTTTTGGGGTTTATGATGTTTCCCAGAACCAATTCTCTACAGAAAAGGTCCAACCGTAATGTACTCTTTTTTTCTAAGTATAGAAAAAGATTTGGGATTTGAGCTTGAGAGCAAATTTGTTAAGATAAAGCATCAATTCACATTGTGTTCTTATACATCCTTGTCAAGGTTTGCAAGCTATTTTATTTACATTTGTGCTCTCTTTTTGTTGTTGTTGTTGTTGTTGTTATTGTCTCTGTCTACAGAAGTGTGTTTGCTTGACTTCAGAGACTCTTGTGGGAAATCAAAATGCCGACGAATCCCCACCCTCACTGAACTGAGTAAGTTGGGTTTCAAGGGCAAAATTCAAAGCAGAAATCTTTATGATGCATAATTGATGTCCCAAGGTTCTTTTTTAGAATCCACAGTCTCAGGACTGAGGAATCAGAATGGGACCTAAAGAGCTTTAAGTGCTTGGCTTCATGTCATGGTGGGTTTTTACCTGACTGCTGACTTCGTCTTGAGGAGCCTATTCTATCTTGGTGTCAGGGAGCAGGAATAATATCTGACTTCTCCATTCTTCTGGATAACAGGAGAGGGAGGGAGACCAGTAACCAGCTCAGTCTTATTCAAAGGGAGGGGACGTGAACTTGAGGATTGCTAGATCTCCTTGTAACTGTATCTACCCATCATGAGACTTTTCCCCATGACCATCTACCCATCATAGGCAGATGAAGCATTCAAGCTGCAGACTTTGAGGAGGTGCTCATTCCTGAGGTCATTAAATTTTAACTCCCAAGTATCTCCTTTGCATCATCTGAATCCCAACCCTCTGTGATGTGCTTCTAATATGGAAACACACCTTGGAAAAATTACAAAATAAGCTGTAATCTCTCATCAACATCTCATGGAAAATGAACACGTATAAAACTTTCTAAGACCTGAGGAGCTCTCAAGCAGGAAGCAGTGGGATGGGGGTGGGCAGGAAAGGAGGTTTGGGTGCATTTGGAAGGTGTTGATGGAACACTGTGGGACATGCTGAGATTCATGGCTGAGAAGAACTGAGGAGAAGGGGGAAAAACAAAGAGGAAAATGATGTCTTCTTAACATAAATTGAGCCAACTCAAAGAAGCTCTCATAAGCTGGTCCTAGGCATGTGATTTGACTGATTCTATGATATAACAAAGTGTTTAATAGGCATTTTGTGATTTAGAACACCTAAGCCCAGTGGGACATTGACCAAATTACATGAACAGATCTCTTAGTCCTAAGAATAAAGTAGGGGGACTTGGAGAAGAATCAGTAGCCCCCTCTGCCACCATGGGAGCTGGGAATCAAAGTGCAGCAGGTGGGAAATACCTAGTCACCTGGATCCTGGGCCTGGGCCCATAAATTCAGCTTTGAGCCCATCACTTCCGTAGGTCCCAAACTGGTACCTGCCAGCATATTTATAAACATCTTGAGACTGTCAGCTGCCATTTTTATTCATGTATTTTTTCTTCCCATTTTGAACTATCTTTAACTCCCTGTGTGTACATATACTAAATTCATGAATTAGAAGACTGTAAGTCAAAGTGGCTCAGGGATTAGCTGGCTTCTTGCTAGTCCATAGGTACATCTGGTCACTCTCCAGGGACTCACAGATTTTGTTCAGCCAAGTATTTTCTGGCTCCAGGCAGACCTCATCAAATTAGCCTAACAAGTCACCTGCCAGCTCACTCAATTTCTTGTTTCTTTGTCTGGCTGGAAAGGGTCATACTGACATGGGAGCTGCAGGACTGACGGTTAGCACTTTAGTACAGAAAGTACAAGGGCCTGCAAGAAAACAGCTAGGAAATGTGAGGATACTGCTTTAGAATGACACGGTGAAGTCGGGACAAAGGCTCCTGAGGATTGGCACTGCAAGGAGAGGGAAGTGGGAGTATAGGAGATGTGGGTTGGTATTAGTCATGCCCTGCTCATCTTTTATAAAAATATTGCTGTTCTCAGAAGAAAATGATTCACTAATACCACCAGTCTGACACTTCCCCCTAACTTACTGAGAAATAATTTAAAGAATTAAGGAATAATCCAATCTCAGTAAAGAATGTATTCTGGATTGTATGTCCAGTGAATTCGCTTTGATCTGTAATATCAAGAACTATAATGTCAAGCACTGTGAAGTTTCTAAGATTTTATCCTACTTGCAATCTAACAAGTTAACCTGCCACTGTCTCATGGAAGCTGGTAGAACATAAGACCTCTAAGTCAGAGACAAAAAAAAAAAAAAAAGTTTGTTACTTACAAAAATAACAGTAGCCAGAGTATCATCATTTTTGTGATGGTTGCCAAAGTTCTGTTTACCACAGAATGACATGAAGAGGTCCAAATGATACCTCCTGCATCCACAGTGGATTGTTGTACAAAAGAGGAGCCAGAGTTTTGGAAAACAGAATCTTTTCCAATTGTATAGAAAGTAGCAGCTCCATCTTCAATGCTTCTTGCTATTCAAATGTTTTTGAAGCAATAGTCCAGGAACAAAGGCAGCCAGCCCTCTGTTCTCCCCAACATCAGCCAGTTGTATGGACTACAGACTCTGCTTACAGGGGTCTAAGTTGTAGCCTCGGGTTATTTTGGTACTGCTGTACTGTCCTCATGAAGAAGATTCTCTAAGCCCTTGCTATTCAAAGCATGGTCCACAAATGTGCAGCACTTAGGTGCTTGGTAGATGTGTAGATACTCAGATCCCGCCCTGGACTGAGGAAATCAGAATCTGCATTGTAATAAGGTTGCCAAGCAATTCTTGTGCACAGTAAATTTCAAGAAGCCCTGCTTTAACTCACTCTGGGCTCAATTAACTCTAGGAACCTCCATAACACCATGTTATATAAAATGCACTGTGCCTGCCCTCCCTTTGTCCTGGTGGGAAATAGCATCTCTACCTGCGTACTGCCTTTCTATCTGGGTCACATGGGTGGCCAGATGTTCCTTGTTAGTGCCTGTTTCCCCAGCGCAATTGTTCCCAGTGCCCCCTTTTGTTTCCAGAAGTATTCTGGTTGGAAAGATAAATTGGATAAGGGTGATCCCGGGACACTTCCCTGGTCAAACTGAGCCTGGGGTAAAAGAATGTTCCTTTGATGGTGAAGTACTCAAGAGGGACTCATATTTTTAGGGGAGGACAATATTTGGAAACGAAAAAAACCATGTAGTGAGTTAAGGGTAGAAGCTACAGAGACATTAAGACACAAATCCTTTGCTAAGTGATCACCCTTGGCCTGCCTCACACGGAAACCCCTATCTTCTTGTCTGCCTGCCTTTCCCTTTTGCCTCTCTTACCTTGCAGAAAATCCTTCCAACATCCACTTTATTGAGCAGATTGGTGGACTGGAAGGGAACTTCACGGGGACAAGCCTGCATCTGAGCGCTTCCTTTTCCACAGGCGCCGTCTTCTCTGGAAACTTCTTGGATTCCCTCCTGGCCACCGTAAGTCCATTTAAGCCAAGAAGTCCCCCAAACCTCTTGGAGAGAGGTGAGTGGGTGGATTAAGGTTTGAGGACATCACAATTCACAATTCCGATTTCTCTTTGATTAAAAAAAAAATTGCACATACATTATTTCATCTCTCCTCAAAACTGCTTGAGGAGAGAAGCAAAATTTTGAGATGATCAAGATTATAAACTTGAGGCCCTGGGAACTGTGACATTTGATGCTAGCCCTTCAGCTTTCAGTGCATCTCCACAGACCAGGGCCTTTGGTTTCAGAACCTCATGGATACTACCTTCTCTTCTCTCTACAATTTCCCAACAACTCTTTCAGAAGTTAGTTCTAAGAGATTCATGGGTTTCATGGAAAAAGGTTTGGCATTAGGTAGTGTGAATTTTACTCAGAGTTAAGTCAAATCTTCCTCCACCATTGTCCCTCTTGTGTGATGCATTTCTGAGTACATGGTCACTGTTTAGTTTTCAGCAGCTCTTTAGCCATAAGGCAGATCCCTAGCATTCATTACAGGATTCCCATAAATAAAATCCACTAGTCGTCAAATACCTATCAAACTCCTACACTGTGCAGGGATACAGCAGTGACGAAACAGACCAAACTCCATCTATGTGCAGCTTGCACTCACAGAAGAGACTGACATGAACATCAATATGTAATGTACAAAGGATGCCAATCACAAAGACTGAGGAAAGATGAGATAGGAAATGTAGGGTTTGGGGAAGTAGTTGCAGATTTCAGTATGTGCCCAGGGAAGGCAGCATGCTGTTCAAGCTCTGGAGGAAAGGAAGATGCACACCACCCAGATCCTTGGGGAAGAAACTATACAGGCAGAGGCCAGGAGGCAGCTGCCCAGACTGTTGAAGGAATTGCAATTTGATTAAGAAATACAGGATCTATGTATGGCCATTTATAATGACTGCAAAAACACCTGAAAGGAAATACGCATGTTCCACTACCTCAGAGTTTTCCTCCTAAGATTTTTCAGGGGAAGGATTACAAAAAGGTCCAAAGTCCAATATGCACTTGCTTAAAGGAACAAGGCTCTGAGTACAGTTTGAATGTACTCAGAATGTACTTCTGGAATGCTGTGTAGAAGAGGCACCATTCCTGAATGGCATGCTTGTCTCAAAGCAGTTTGCACATTTAGGGGAATGTGACCAGGACATATATATTCCTCTCCTGACATCAAGGAAGGTATTATGTGGCCCTTGATTCTGCCTTTCTTAGCCATGGAAGGGTTTCTCATGAACCCCAGGGAGATACCACTGCTTCAGGAATAGTTTAACATTAAACAATTTTGTGGGTTATCAAGTTTCTAAAGGGTTAAGTAACATACAGCCCCTGACTGAGCCAGAGAGGGATGCATTGGAGGGAATCAAGTCAGGTTACTTTTCTGAGAAGGTGACTCTGTCAGACAGAGTGTTGTATCACTGTCTGTCACTGATATGTCAATTAACCTGCCTGGAATTAATGACTGGAGTGTCAGGCAGAAGGTGACTTCTGATGAACTTGACCTGTCGGCAGGATGCATTTTAGATGGGTTTAAGCTCCCAGATCTTTTCAGAAGCTCTTAAGTGGCAGGAAGCTTCATGCCTTAAATTAAACTTGAGACTTAATTAAACTCCACTGCTCCACTGGGCCACACAGGCAGAATAAAGCTACAGATTCTATTTAGAGTTAGTCAGAAGGCAGTGTCTTGGTGTTTTATACCTCTATCACAAAATACTGGAGACCAGGCCATTTATAAAAACAATAGAAGTTTATTTGGCTCACAGTTCTGAAGACTGGGCAGTCCAAGGGCATGGTGCAGTCATCTGTGTGGCATCTGGTGAGGTTCTTTCTGCTGTGTCATCGCACCGTGGGAGGCAAGAAGGCCATAGAGCACATGCAAAAAGATAGAGAGGAGAGGGCCAAACTCATCTTTGTTATCAAGAGCCCACTACTGCCATAACTAATCCACCCCAACAATAATGGTATTAATCCATCTATGATCTCATAACCTGATCATGTCTTAAAAGTCTCACCACTTAACAGTGTTTAGTGTGGAGTGTTTCCAACATATGCTTTGAGCAGGGAGTATATTGAACCGTGGCAGGCAGAATAGATGATGAAGGGTTGGAAGAGTAGAAATAAAAGAAATGAACATACAACGTAAGCCAGCATAGGAAACACCAACTTGATAATTAAGTCTTGAGCCAGGTGTTGGCGCCTAGGCTTAGTGCTGACTTCCATAATGCACCATGAGCGTGACCTTGACCTTGGGCAGTCAAGATGAGAAGACGATCCCTTGCTAGAAAACAAAATGAGCTACATAAAATCTCAGAAGTCTTTTCTTAGGCTAGATGGTGAAGTCCATGAGAGAGAGACAAAGTCAGGTAAATGTGCCCTATATAGGAAGTTGTCACATGAGGTTACAAGCCACGCTGGACCATCAGCTAGCTGTTAAAGAGTCCTGATAAGTGTGTTATTTAGGACTGGCTCTTGGTCAGCTGTCTATGGAATGGGGATGGCAATGGAGCACCAGGGCAGAAGGCACCACGTATGTCAAGGAGGCTCACAGGGATAGTGAACCTCTAAATACCTATCTGGTAGCCTTCTATTCTAGCTATTACATGTATCTTTAATGATGTATGGCACAGCAAAATGAACACACTGTGATAATGCTGAAACGCTGAGCTAAACCAGACTACTGAACGTAATCAGTGAGTGCTGTCCTCTCTTGTTTTCCTTTCCCTGGATGATATCCTATCCAACCATTCACACAGAAAGAAAAACCAACCTAAGGATGAGGCTGGAGTTGTCCCTGAGCCTCCAATGTCACAGGCTCCTCCCCTCTGGGTACCATTTGATCTTGGCTGGTCTCTGGATATTACCACCTGGTCGCATGGAAATAGCCTCAGAGAAAAAAGAGAACATTCACCATCATCTACTGGAAATACCAGAATATGCAGATGTTCTCAAATCCTACACTTTATTTTCCTTACACAACAGAGTATCTCCTGGCTGAGTTTGGGAGGAAGCAAAGACATCATTCTTCCCATCTAGTTAGGATGTCAGCTATGGGCTCCATGGCTATCATCCCCTCTAACATAGATCCATGGCAGACATCATCAAGATCCACAGCTCTTCTCTCCTAGCTCATACCTGCAAATCTTCCCCACAGTAGACCTCTAGGCGACTAATTCTCATAAATTCTGTTGTTGAGATGTTACCAGTAACAATAGCAATATCAGTCATAGGAAGAGTAGTATCTTTCAAGCATTTCTCTTGTGCCAAGACCTTGCTAAAGCATATTGTATTATCTTGTTGATTCTCCTGTCAACTCAATTAAGGAAATACTATTCTTAGATTTATTTTATAGATAAAGACTCTGAGGCTTAGAGGGGTATAATCTGTCAAAGGCTACATCACTGACAAATAAAAAGTTGTTTTTAAACCCAACTTTATGTGATTCCAGAGACAGCCCTCACCACCACAATCAACTTCCCCTCCAGAAACCTAGTTCTTTATTACTAATATCTTTCCAATGCAAGAATTTTCAGGTTTTTCTTAGAGGAATCCAACTCTCTGAGTGCTCAGAGATTGCTGAGGAGACAGGCAGAAAAGAGACACAAACGTGCCCTCCCACACTGCTCTCTCCTTGATTAGAGCAACTCTGCTTTTTTCTGTGCCATATTTGAGGCACAACTACATAATATTTCATTGGAAGAAATATTTCTATTGCTAAAAAGACTTTAGAAACCACTCCCTACAAATTAGAATATAACAACCAACAGAAAAGTATAGGAGTATCCTGTTCTCCTTTCCAAGACAGGTTTCCCATTTCCAATCTGAAGTCCTAAGTGGGAGGCAAGATTCAACCATTCCCTCTATTTTTTTCATTCCTTTTATACTATAATGTCCCTGCCCCAAGAATATCTTAGGGGTTAGGCTCTTCCAACCTGATGCCCACCTCAAGGTACCGAGAGATTGGGTCCCCATGGCTGTACCATCAGTGGGTATAATTAAACTAAAACTGTTTCTTTCCCAGATGCCCACACTAACAGGAGAGCAAACCTAAGAGATGTCTTCAGAATAGACTCTCCTGGGAAAAGGGGGCTCACACTTCAGCAAACAAACTGTTAAATAAGAGAAGAACACCAGCCTCAACTTTGATCTTGGTGAAATATTTCCCACATGATGTTTATGGGATTGCTTCCTTCCTATATGTACTTGGAAAACTTCATTGTGACTTTCCATCTTTCCCTCCCAATCATCCTTATAAATTCTAAGGAGAATGAATGTACAAGTCCCAGGATGCAGCAAAGCCCACAGTAGTGTGTGATAAAGTAGTCGCCACTTAGAAATAATGAAGTCTTATATTTTCACACAAGTTAAAAATCTCTACATTGCGAAGGATATTATATATTTTCACTGAAATATAATGGTTTTTATCTCCAAATCTCCAACTGATACTGTTAATACTGTTGACAATATTCCCTGGTATACTACCTAAACTCCTGTCCCGTTTAGAAGAATTTGTCTATACCTAATTCATATTTGCTTTTAAATCTTTATCAGTTCAGTGCTACGAAAACTAAAATATGGCAAGACCAGTCAGGCCTATGTGCAAGAATCCTACATAGCTTTACAACTAAAGAGTTTCATAAATAGACAAGAACTTAGGGAACACTTTTCCTGTACTTGTGAGAAAACTGAAGCCCACCGAAGTTAGATGAAATTCTCAAGGTCTCTCAGCTGGTTAGTTGCAATTTTCCAACCATAGAGCCTCACTTGGAGTTAAAAGTTATTTCCCAAAAGATGTTTGATCTTAAGGCCTTTGGAAAAATCTCAGAATAAAGAACAGCAGATGGCTTCGATATTAGTATGTATACTATTAGGTAATATTCCAGATTATGAAAGAGACTTCATGTTTTATTGCAGTTAAAAGCTTAAACAACTTGGGCTGCAACATTTCCAACATTGGAAACTCAATGTTAGAAATTCTAGTATTCTAATACATGCTATTGCATTAGAATTGCAGTCCAAAGTCCAAAAAACATTTCAAACACATTTTAACTTTGAAATTTTCTAGAGAAGGAAAAGAAAGAAAACAAGCAAAGGAGGAAGAAAAGATGGAA